TCGAGTGAACGTAGCCAGGTGACGGCCAGTCCGGGAGCACGTACAGATCGCCACACGCTGCCCTCCAGGAATAAAGGTATCAACCCAGACATCCTGAATGGCAGCGTTGCTCACCAAGTTCGTCGAGAACGTGGGGAGGTGGAGACCTGACAAAGAGCCTGAGGGGACTGCTGGACAAGGGAGGACCGTGGAGGCTCTCGCAACCACTGGGCCCCCAGAGGGGTCAGCCAGTGAGACTGGGACAGGTGCTGTGAGTGGTGTGACTGTGGTGCAATAACAGAAGAAGCAACGTGACGCGCCGGAGTTAAGCGTGAAAGTGTGCAAGACCTCAGCTGAGGCAGGACCTGTGGTAGTAGACGCACTAGCAACTAGAGCGCCGGTAGACTCACGGGCACCTAGAGCTGCAGCAGACTCACTAGCACCTAGAGTGGCAGCAGACTCACTAACACCTGGAGTGGCAGCAGACTGACTAACACCTGGAGTGGCAGCAGACTCACTAACACCAAGAGCAGCGGTCTTAACAGAACGATAACCTCCACCACCAGGATGACCTCGCTGAATAACCCACTCACGAAGCTGCCAAGCGGTGGGGTCGTCCGGGAGAAGCAGTGCCCGCTGCTGTCCACCCCTGGCCGCAGCGACTGCCGCGGAAGTGGCCATGACAGACAGTGACTGTCAGGAGTAGGTCCAGCACCTCCAGCTCCTACAGCGCCAGCAGCACCTCCTGCACTCCCAGCAGCACCTCCTCCACTCCCAGTAGCACAAGTAGCAGCAGCAGCAGCAGCAGTAGTAACAGCAGCAGGGCGGTTCGGTGGGGGTGGGAGGCCGCACCTCCACCACTCCCAGCAGTACTCCCTCCAGTAGCAGCAGTAGCAGGGCGGCTCAGGCAGCAGCAGCAGATCAAGCAGCAGCAGCAGCAGCAGTAGACCGAGTAGCACTAGCTGTAGCAGTAGTAGTTGCAGTAGCAGCATTAGTGACAGCTCGGGCTGGGCGGCGCGGCTCGGACACAGTGGCAGAGCAGCAGTAGCATTAGCTGTAGCAAGTGCACTAGTAGGAGTTGCAGCAGTAGCACTAGCTGTAGCAAGTGAAGTCGTAGGAGCTGCAGTAGTAGTACTAGCTGTAGCAGCAGTAGCTTCAGTCAAGCAGCAGTAGCTTCAGTCAGGAGCAGCTGTAGCAAGTGCTGGAGTAGGAGCTGCAGCAGTAGCACTAGCTGTAGCAAGTGAAGTAGTAGGAGCTGCAGCAGTAGTACTAGCTGTAGCAGCAGTAGCTTCAGTCAGGAGCAGCTGCAGTAAGTGCTGGAGTAGAAGCTGCAGCAGTAGCACTAGCTGTAGCAGCCATAGCTTCAGTCAGTAGCAGCTGTAGCAAGTGCCGTAGTAGCAGCAGCAGCAGTAGCACTAGCTGTAGCAGCACTAGCTTCAGTAGCAGCAGCAGTGAGTAGCGCTAGCTGTAACAGGAGTAGCGTCAGTAGCAGCAGCAGTGAGTAGCGCTAGCTGTAGCAGCAGTAGCAAGGAGGAGCAGCTGCAGCAAGTAGCAGCAGCAGCAAGGAGGAAAAACTGCAGCAAGTAGCAGCAGCAGTTGCAGGGCAGTACAGGCGGCAGCAGCACTGCAGCAGCAGTTCAGGCGCAGCAGTGTAGCAGCAGCAGCAAGTGCAGCAGTAACACGGGCCGCGTGCGGGCCAGGCGCGGGCTTTACGAGCTGGGTGCGGGCCTGACGTGGGCTGTACGGGCTGCGCGACGGCCTGGCGCGGGCTGTATGGGCTTCGCGACGGGCCTACGCGGGCTGTACTGGCAGCTAGGGCGCGGTCAGGGGGGGTCGCACGTGACTAGGAAGGAAAATCGCGTCTAGGGCAGAAAAAGGAACCGTCTCGCCTAGAGCACGGTTTCGAATTTCGCGTTTCTCCTAGGGGCGCGTCTCGGGCAGTAGATCGAAATAGTAGTGGTGGGCCCTTTTAAAAATTCGGTCCTAAGGAGCATTGTGCTCTTACGGTAATACCATGTTAGAATCACTAGCTAGGTGAGGAGTGGGGTTAGGTAAGGGAGAGAGAGTACAAGAGTATCGAGAGAATTGGGTTGTACCCTCTAAGGGATGACCCCTACACAACCTAGAGTGAAATAGACATAGCTCTATGTTTTGACATGTTTCGTAGGTCAACGGCGATGGTCGCAACAGTGGTTGCTGTCGTAGTTGGGCGACCAAGCCCTTGTTCAAAAGGATGTTCCACGCTCCGAGGGTGCATAAAACACTGCAGATATCCGCAAAACCTTCCAATAACATCATTACCCTTTTTTGGGATGAGGCAGCCCTGGACAACTAACTAATTCAGGTGTGAATCAGAGGCACCACCCTGAAAACATTTCACTTCAAGGCCTACTTTCGTAAGTTCAGCAGGGTACGTGGATAATTTGCTGCATTGGTGCAGTGGAGGGTATGGAACAAGCGAGAGCCATGCACGGAGCAAGCCTGACGAGAGGGGCATGGATGCAAGCTAGAGGATGAAAGGGTGACGGGTGGGCAAGGGGCATGCAGATGCGGGGGGGGGCAGAAACAAGAAGCACACTGGGGCATAGGTGGCGCAGGCCGGGGCTTACTTTATCAGACATTTTTGGTCTGAATTTCTGGATTCTGAACACATTTTTACTGATTCATCTGATGTCGCAGACATGCTGTTTAATTTCGTCTGATTTTTAAGAGAAGCTTTTTCTATTCATCTGATTTCTCAGACAGCCTTATACAGTTCATCTGAGACTGCAGATATAGTGTCTTTTTCGTCTGAAGGCAAAACTCTCGAAGGATGTCTGCACCTGCCTGGCAGTAGCAGGAGACAAGATTCCAACCGGAAATCTCAGTTTTCACAACTCTCTATTCTACTGGCTGGAGCATTAGGGCTGGTACCTGACTTCCCTATTCATATTTTGATAGTATATTGCTTGCTAGCTTTATATCTTCTCAGAAATCTCAGACAAGTATTTAGGATTCGTCTGAAAAGCTAGACAATGTTACAGCTTTCGTCTGACAATCAGACAAGGAGCCAGGACCCGGTCTTGACATCAGACGGGTCATTTTACTAAAGTTAGCCCGCCGCAGGCTAGAGTAGAGACATGAGTCAGGCAAAGGGGGACGTGGGAACCGGCTTGGGAAAAGGAGGGGGGAGGGAGGGGCATGGGGTGGGGTAGAGCGAGAGGAGGAAGGGGGGAAAGAAACTGTGCAAGGGGTGGTGCATGCTTGTGAGGTGTGCGTGCAGGGGCCAAGATGTGTGGATAAGGAGTGTGGGGTTGGAGCAGGGAAGGGGACAGGCAGGGGAAAGGTGGGGTGTCATAACGCGTGCAATATTACCGTAGGTGGTGAAACTTTGAGCAGCGGGAGGTGCAAGAGCATACACCGTCCTAAGAGAACACCATACCACACCCACATAACCCCACAAATTACACCATAACAAAAGGTACGAAGTTCCTTCTCTTGTACAATACACTATTAACTGGCGTGCGTTGAAGCGTTACGGACCCGCAAAGTAACCAGGGAACAAAATGGGATAAAAAAGAAAGGAGGGGAGGGGAGTGGGGAGAGGATGGGGGAGGTGGAAGATATTCCAAGCAGTGCGGTAAACCACATTGGAGACAATACTGGTAATACCAGACCTCGTATGTACATGGCAGGCTTAATTTCTGTTGCCGTTGCTGCAGCCTTCAATGAACGGCACTGTGTCCCAACAATGCACCTGCACACAACACAGAACAACAGCAAGCCAGGTCCGTGATGCGAACTCTCACAGGCAAGTGAGGTGGTGGTAAGGGAAGGCTAGGTTCCAAGGCCGTTGATAGAAAAGAAACAATCGAGGCAGAGAAAACAAAAAGAGTGGGGAACGAACGAGATGGGGGAAGGGGCGGGAGAATGAGAGGATCGGGGGGGAGGAAGGGGGAGGGGAGGGGAGGGGGGGGAGGGGAAGGAGAGGGAAGGGAGGCATGTGGTAACTTTGGAAACCGGCCGCATGAGCACTCACAGGATTGACCGGGCTATTGTTGAGCTTCTCAGCGGCATGAATGCTTGTTCTCCACCTGGTAAGCCTCTGCCTGCGGATACACTCCCCTCCCGCCCCTCCCGCTCCTCCTCCTCCTCGTTCTCCACCATCTCCACTCACACTGCCGCCTCCCACCCCAGCTGCTACCACTGCTCCTTCTGTTCCTGCTGCTTCCTCTGCCTCCTCCGCTTTCCCTAGAACGGTTGCTGCTGCTGTGCTGGGTAGCTGCAAGCACGCCAGTGGCGACTCAGCCTCACTGCATACAAGGCCATTCAACTCAATTAATGAGCACTGCTCCATGCTGCTTGCAGCGGTGGTGCCTGCACGAGAAGGAGTATGGGCATGACCATTAGCATGATCATGGGCATGGGCCGAAATGCATGGCAAGAAGCAGGGTCTCTCAGGTATGAGAGCCGTGTCAGCCGTGGCGTTGGCAGAGGCGGCGGCAGTGGCGGTGGCTGTACCAGTGGTGATGCCGGTGCTTCTCCTGCTGCTACCGCCGGCGCTGATGCTGGTGTGTGTGGCGTGCGTGGTGCGCACAGGGGAATGATCTGAGGGGCAGAGGGAGAAGGAGACGACTTCACAGGGCACCTCGGCCTGGCTTGCAAGGGACACCACCTGCTGTGTGCCCACACCTGCCAATGCTTGCGGTCCCTCCACTGTCACTGCAACCATGGAAACTGTCACTGATACTAGGGCTGCTGATGTAGCAGCAGCGGCAGCGGGAATAACAGTAGCATCGGCAGCAGAAGCAGCAGCAAGAGAAGCAGCAGCCGGAGAAAGAAAAGGAAGAGGAACAGGAGGAGAGGACAAGTGAGAGTCACGTAAAGAGCGAGGGCGGGTGCGTGCACACGACCCCCCCCAATGCCTTTTCCCATGGCTGGCAACGCGTACAGGGCCTGCCACGCCTTTACGGGACAAGTATAGGGACTCGGGGTGTGCTGGAGTGGGCACAGCAACAGCTTCCATGGCACTGCTAGGGTGCTCACTGCTTCTGGGGACAGAGCAAGTGGCAGCACCAGTGGCAGAGGCAGGGGCAGCGCAGGTGCCAGTGCCAGTGGCACCGGCAGGGGCAGAGGGGGCGGCGGAGGTGGCAGCGGCAGTCGGAGAAGCAGTGATAGTGGCAGTGGCAGCGGCAGTGGAAGCGGCAGTGGGAATGGGAGTGGCAGTGGCAGTGCAGCTGGTTGCGAGGGCCAGCAAGTGAAGAGACTGCAACACATCCTCCTCTTCCTCCTCCACATCGCCACACTCTTCTTGTCTCTCCCCACCCTCCTGCTTCTGCAGATCCTCCTTCCCCTTGTCGACTTCCATTGCAGAATCCCCCCCCCAAACCTCAACCTCCTTCCCTTTACCCTCGTGTACCCCTCGCTGTCCCCCGACACCCTTTCCCATGCAACAGCGCTCTCCATTCCCTACTCTGCCCTCTTCCATTTCAGCACCACCACTCTCACCGTCCCCACACTCTCCTCCCCCCATCTTTCCCCCACGCCCTCCCCCACCGAAGCTTCCCCCACTGCGCCTCCTACCCAAGCCCTCCATGAACCCACTCGTTCCTATTCCAAACCCCGCCACCACTTTCCTTTGACCTACTGCTTTCCGTTGCGATGGGAGGAAGGGCCTGGTGCGGGCAGCAGACCCCTCTGCTGCACGTATGCACTCTTCCTGCATCCCCAGCTGTGCTTCAGCATGCACATGGGTAGCACCCAGGATAGCTGGCACTACCACTCCACTGCTTCGTTTCTTCCGCTCGAGCTCAATCACCCCTTCTCCTCCTGCTGCTCCTCCTGCTGCTGTTCCTTCTCCTATTGCTCCGCCTCCTCCTCCTCCTCCTCCTCCTCCTCCTCCTCCTCCTCCTCCTCCTCCTCCTCCTCCTCCTCCTGCTGCCGCTGCTTCTCCTGCCGAAGGGGCATCTCTAACAAAATCTTTGAGGCTCTGTAGCGTGTGCACCTCCTCTGGCCTTGCTCCTCCCAGCTCCGTCACAGCAGCAGCACCCGTCCCTCCTTCGACCCTGCAAGGCACCCACACGCCTTCCTCTCTACTCCCTTCCACCACCACTTGCATCATCAGCCCATCTCCTCCTGCCTCCCTGTTGACCTCTTTCGATGCGTGCCCGCTTGATCGCCCCTTCTGCTTTCCCCACGCCATGAGCACATGGGTGCGTGCACTCCACATGCCATCACTCCCACCTGCACCACCATCATCACTACCAAACTTGCCCGCAACATCGCCCTCTCCCGCTGCTGCTCCTGCTGTTTCACCAAACGCCAGCTCCTCACCTCCAACCCTCATCTCAGCCACTCCTACAGCCTCGACCCCACTCTCCCCTGCAGACCTCCCCGCGCAAGGCCCAACCCGTGACTCTGGAAAGAACCCCACTCGCACCTGCACTCGGCAGTCCCTAGCCTTGCCCTCCCACACTCGCATTCTCGACCCCACAGCCTCCCCTTCATCCCCTCCTCTTATGCCTCCCAACCCCTCGCTTTCTAGGACCGCCACTGCTACACACCCCTCCTCACCGGATTCCCCCTTTTCTAGTTCCTTATTGCTCGAGCTAACCACACACCCGTTTCCTTCACGTTCTTCCCCCCCTACCCCAGCTTGCCTCGCATCCCCCGCTTCCCATGCATTCCCCAGGCCATGGGCACGGTTGCATTCAGTCTGCTGGTCTGGAGACCCATCCGTCATCCCAGCAGCGAGCCCGCATGCAAGCAATCCATGCACAAGCGCACCTCCGCCCCTGCCTTCAACCTCCAAGGGTCCGATACAAGGCTCATGTGCACGCGCCCCCCCATGCCCCTGTGCCGCTGCATCTGCTGCCTCTTCCTCTTGCGCCCACTCAAGCGCACGAGCAGGTGCAGGTGCACATGCGTCTGGGTGAGTATGTGCATGTGTGTGTGCACATGCCAGTGTCACTTGATTCGCATGCCCGTGCATGGCATGACTGGCAGGTATCGCATCGTCCGAGTCCCATAGCGCCACCTCAACAGCAGCACTCAGAGCAAATAACCCGTCCAAACCAGCAGCCCCATCCACTCCACACTTCGCACCCAAACTAGGAGCATCAGCAACCCCAGAGGTCCCAGCCACCCTAGAATTCCCTCCTTGTAAACAGCATTGAAGGGTGTCAGAACCCCCTGCCTCCGTCCCGTATGCCTCGCCTTTCTCCTCCCAACCACACTCCACACCCTTAACCGCCCCTGGCCTGCTTTTCAGCGCCTTGAGTGCATTCTGCCTGGGTCCACACGGCAGAGCACGAGCACAAGAGCCCACGTCCCCCACTCTCCCTCCCTCATCACCCCCCTCGTCGCTTCCACACTTGCGCTCACTCCTACAGCCACTCCTGGTGCTGCTCTCGCCATAACCACAACTAATTGGGATTGCCTTGTCATGACATCGCCTCGTGCTACCCAAGTCCTCGCTCGGTTCTAATAATGCCAACTCTACGCCCCCACTCCCAGACTGCCCGCCAAAAAACCCCTCCACGTCCACGCCTCCCCCCTGCACACTCAGAACAGTACATTCCGGCCCTCCCCCCCACAGCAGCTGCTGCTGCTGCTCCCGCTCCTGCTGCTGCTCCTGCTGCTCTTGCTGCACGTACCCTTGCAGGTGCTGCTGCTCCAGTCCCACTCCGCTACAGTCGTCCAGAGCGAATTCAACCACCACCTGCACTTGCACTGATTGCCCCTCCTCGCCCATCTCCCCGCCGTCACACCCCACCACGCCAACCACCCCCACGTCTACATCCACGCACCCACCACCATCCCCACAGCAAAACCGCTGAATCGCCCCCTCCCCCTCCCCATTCCCCTCTCCATCTCCCTCTCCCACTCCTACTCCCACGCCATTGTTCATAGTAGCAGCAGCATGAGCAGAAGCCAAGGAGTGCTGCCGCATCTTCTCCATTACAAGCTCCTGTGCGGATTGCAGAGGCACAAGAGACTGCTGCGACTCACCAGCAGACTCGCCCACACTGTCACCCACAACCTCGGCCATGAGGTAGAGTGGGCACAAGCCCAAGAGCAGTGCAGAAACGCTGATGATCACCAGCCCCAAGGGCCTTGGTGAAGACATCAGCAGTGTTGGCCCGAAAGGCCACGAAAGCAAGGCGCAGCTGACCACGCTGCTGCAGCTCACGCGCAAGGAAGTAGCGCAGAGCAATGTGCTTCGTTCTGTGCTCCAGTCTCTGCTCGCGACACAAGGCAAGCATTGCCTTGTTGTCGACGTACAGAACCGGAGGAGAACAAGGCCGCTCCCCCAAGTCGGTCAGCAGGTAGGTCAGCCAGTGGAGCTCCTGTGCAGCCAAGAGCAGTCTCACCCCCGAGGAACGGAGGACAGGCAGGGACAGGGTCAGAGACAAGACTCGCAAGGTAGTCGAGGCGGTACACAGCAGCAAAGTCAATGAGCTCAGCTACTAGGGTAGACGCAGCAGGAGACGAGAACGTAGGGTCCGTCTTAACCGTAGCAAGAAGGCGAGTAACAAAAGGACTGGACGCACGAGCAAGGTCAGACGGAGGGTCAGCAACGTCAGGCAAAGAGGACGCAGGAGGTAACGGTAGGACAACACGCTAAGGAACAGAGGAAGGACGGAGTGTCATATCGTGAGTGCCGGGGACAGCCGGAGCACGCTGACGACGAACACGAGGAAAACGAGCACGGACAGCAGCTCTAGGCTTAGGCTCAAGGTCAAAGCTAGACTCAGGCTCTCGACGCTCAGGGGTGGAAGCACGAGTCTCAGGCTCTCGACGCTCAGTCAGGGACTCTGACACCGCAGTGTAAGGAGCAGGAGCAGGCAGTGGGGAGTGTGGTAGCAGCAACGGAGGAGTAGTACCTGCCACAGGGAAGCCAGTAGCACCTGGCTGAAGACTGAGAAGGTGGCGAAGAGCACCAGTAGCTCCACCAGGACCTCCAGCACCCCCAGCACCTCCAGCCCCAGCAGCTCCAGCTGCTCCACGACCTCCAGCACCAGCAGTACCTCCAGTACCTCCAGCACCAGCAGCTCCACGACCTCCAGCACCAGCAGCACCTCCAGTACCTCCAGCACCAGCAGCTCCACCAGGACCAGCAGCACCTGCAACTCCCCGACCTCCAGCACCAGCAGTACCTCCAGTACCTCCAGCACCAGTAGCTCCAGGTCCTCCGGTAGGAGCTCCGACGACACCAACACCAGAAGGACTCGCAACACCCCCAGACTCAGCACCCGAACTCGCAGCACCCCCAGAGGCAGGACCCTCGGTCTCAGCACTCGCAGGCTCAGTACCCTCAGACCCAGCACCCCCAGGCTCAGTACCCTCAGTCCCAGCACCCCCAGGCTCAGTACCCCTAGTCCCAGCACCCCCAGGCTCAGTACCCTCAGTCTCTGCTCGAGTGTCCACAGCAGCAGGCTGCAGAGGCGGCGAAGACGGCAGAGGTGGGAACCCGGGGGGTGTAGCCAGACGAGGAGAGCGGGCACCCCCGGACTCACCACCCCCAGCCCCAGCTCCAGTAGTCTCAGCTCCAGAGTCCACAGCAGCACGCTGCGGAGGCGGCGAAGACGGCCATGGCGGGAAACCCGGGGGGGTCTCCAAGCGAGGAGTGCAGCGAGTGGTCGCCGTGTCGTCGGCGACGGCGTCACCCCCCTCAGGTGAGTCAGAGGAGTTAGAAGAGATCTCAACTGGCTCATCCAAGGGGGGTGGGTCTACCTGGGACACACCTGAGGGAGCAAGACCCTGTGGGGGAAGGGGGTCTACCGGGGGGGGGGACTGGTACCAGGAAGAGAGGTGCGAGAGGGACCGGGTGGGACGCGTGCGGGTGAAGTCGGTAGTAACAGACCGACTCGTCAAAGGTGACATCCTGAGAGGACAGAATACGACACAAGGCAGGGTGGTAGAACTGCCAGGGTGGAGCGTCGGTGGCGAAGCCCAGGAAGACACAGCGGAGCGTGCGAGGGGAGAGCTTGCTCGCTTTGGTATCGCGAACAAGGGAGAGCGCGCCCCAGACCCGAAACGACGACGCATCACCAGGCTTTCCCGTCCAACGGAGTGTGGGCGAGGTCTCTGGAGCAGAGACACGGGGCCAGAGGTTGAGCTGATGCGCGGCGTATCGGACCGCAAACGGCCACAGGAAATGGGGAGCAGCCGCATGGATCATGGAGGCACGAGCAACCTCCATGATCAGGCCAATGCGACGCTCAGCGATCCCATTTTGCTGCGGAGAGGCCGGAAGCGTGAACGACTAGGCGATGCCCTCATCCTGGCAGAACGTCTCAAGGACGCCAGAGCTGAACTCACGACCCCTGTCAGAGTGCAGACGCAGGACTGGGAAGTCCTACTGAAAGCGGTCGTGCAGCTGAAGACGAGTAGCACGGATCCAGGGGATCAAAACACCACTGACGTCCGTCTTGCGACGCAAGGGGAAGACGGTGGTGTAGCGTGTGTAGTTGTCAACAACCAGCAGGAAGTAGCGCTCCTGGTCCGTTCCACCGACGGGGGCCGGGCCCCACACGTCCAGATGGAAAGTCTGCAGAGGAGCAGTGGTCGGAGGAAACTCGGAGGAGTGAGGAGCGGCGCGCTGCCGCCCCTCGACGCAAGGAAGGCACGGCGGCGCAAGCCGCCCCTCGGCGCAAGGAAGGCACGGCGGGGGGCAGGGTCTCAGGGAGGCCAGAGACCAGGAACCGGGAGTGCATGCCGCGCAGACGCTGCAGGGAGGGGTGACCAAGACGGTGGTGCCAGCGCTGAATCTCGTGCGTGAGTACTCGGCACGAGCAAGACGCAGCTAACTGCCCTGACGCAGACGCTCGACTCGACGTAGCTACCTGACCTGACTCAGCCACCTGTGCAGACGCAGTGGTCAGTGTGTACAGACTAGACCCAGGCTGTCGAGTGAACGTAGCCAGGTGACGGCCAGTCCGGGAGCACGTACAGATCGCCACACGCTGCCCTCCAGGAATAAAGGTATCAACCCAGACATCCTGAATGGCAGCGTTGCTCACCAAGTTCGTCGAGAACGTGGGGAGGTGGAGACCTGACAAAGAGCCTGAGGGGACTGCTGGACAAGGGAGGACCGTGGAGGCTCTCGCAACCACTGGGCCCCCAGAGGGGTCAGCCAGTGAGACTGGGACAGGTGCTGTGAGTGGTGTGACTGTGGTGCAATAACAGAAGAAGCAACGTGACGCGCCGGAGTTAAGCGTGAAAGTGTGCAAGACCTCAGCTGAGGCAGGACCTGTGGTAGTAGACGCACTAGCAACTAGAGCGCCGGTAGACTCACGGGCACCTAGAGCTGCAGCAGACTCACTAGCACCTGGAGTGGCAGCAGACTCACTAACACCTGGAGTGGCAGCAGACTGACTAACACCTGGAGTGGCAGCAGACTCACTAACACCAAGAGCAGCGGTCTTAACAGAACGATAACCTCCACCACCAGGATGACCTCGCTGAATAACCCACTCACGAAGCTGCCAAGCGGTGGGGTCGTCCGGGAGAAGCAGTGCCCGCTGCTGTCCACCCCTGGCCGCAGCGACTGCCGCGGAAGTGGCCATGACAGACAGTGACTGTCAGGAGTAGGTCCAGCACCTCCAGCTCCTACAGCGCCAGCAGCACCTCCTGCACTCCCAGCAGCACCTCCTCCACTCCCAGTAGCACAAGTAGCAGCAGCAGCAGCAGTAGTAACAGCAGCAGGGCGGTTCGGTGGGGGTGGGAGGCCGCACCTCCACCACTCCCAGCAGTACTCCCTCCAGTAGCAGCAGTAGCAGGGCGGCTCAGGCAGCAGCAGCAGATCAAGCAGCAGCAGCAGCAGCAGTAGACCGAGTAGCACTAGCTGTAGCAGTAGTAGTTGCAGTAGCAGCATTAGTGACAGCTCGGGCTGGGCGGCGCGGCTCGGACACAGTGGCAGAGCAGCAGTAGCATTAGCTGTAGCAAGTGCACTAGTAGGAGCTGCAGCAGTAGCACTAGCTGTAGCAAGTGAAGTCGTAGGAGCTGCAGTAGTAGTACTAGCTGTAGCAGCAGTAGCTTCAGTCAAGCAGCAGTAGCTTCAGTCAGGAGCAGCTGTAGCAAGTGCTGGAGTAGGAGCTGCAGTAGTAGCACTAGCTGTAGCAAGTGAAGTAGTAGGAGCTGCAGCAGTAGTACTAGCTGTAGCAGCAGTAGCTTCAGTCAGGAGCAGCTGCAGTAAGTGCTGGAGTAGAAGCTGCAGCAGTAGCACTAGCTGTAGCAGCCATAGCTTCAGTCAGTAGCAGCTGTAGCAAGTGCCGTAGTAGCAGCAGCAGCAGTAGCACTAGCTGTAGCAGCACTAGCTTCAGTAGCAGCAGCAGTGAGTAGCGCTAGCTGTAACAGGAGTAGCGTCAGTAGCAGCAGCAGTGAGTAGCGCTAGCTGTAGCAGCAGTAGCAAGGAGGAGCAGCTGCAGCAAGTAGCAGCAGCAGCAAGGAGGAAAAACTGCAGCAAGTAGCAGCAGCAGTTGCAGGGCAGTACAGGCGGCAGCAGCACTGCAGCAGCAGTTCAGGCGCAGCAGTGTAGCAGCAGCAGCAAGTGCAGCAGTAACACGGGCCGCGTGCGGGCCAGGCGCGGGCTTTACGAGCTGGGTGCGGGCCTGACGTGGGCTGTACGGGCTGCGCGACGGCCTGGCGCGGGCTGTATGGGCTTCGCGACGGGCCTACGCAGGCTGTACTGGCAGCTAGGGCGCGGTCAGGGGGGGTCGCACGTGACTAGGAAGGAAAATCGCGTCTAGGGCAGAAAAAGGAACCGTCTCGCCTAGAGCACGGTTTCGAATTTCGCGTTTCTCCTAGGGGCGCGTCTCGGGCAGTAGATCGAAATAGTAGTGGTGGGCCCTTTTAAAAATTCGGTCCTAAGGAGCATTGTGCTCTTACGGTAATACCATGTTAGAATCACTAGCTAGGTGAGGAGTGGGGTTAGGTAAGGGAGAGAGAGTACAAGAGTATCGAGAGAATTGGGTTGTACCCTCTAAGGGATGACCCCTACACAACCTAGAGTGAAATAGACATAGCTCTATGTTTTGACATGTTTCGTAGGTCAACGGCGATGGTCGCAACAGTGGTTGCTGTCGTAGTTGGGCGACCAAGCCCTTGTTCAAAAGGATGTTCCACGCTCCGAGGGTGCATAAAACACTGCAGATATCCGCAAAACCTTCCAATAACATCATTACCATTTTTTGGGATGAGGCAGCCCTGGACAACTAACTAATTCAGGTGTGAATCAGAGGCACCACCCTGAAAACATTTCACTTCAAGGCCTACTTTCGTAAGTTCAGCAGGGTACGTGGATAATTTGCTGCATTGGTGCAGTGGAGGGTATGGAACAAGCGAGAGCCATGCACGGAGCAAGCCTGACGAGAGGGGCATGGATGCAAGCTAGAGGATGAAAGGGTGACGGGTGGGCAAGGGGCATGCAGATGCGGGGGGGGCAGAAACAAGAAGCACACTGGGGCATAGGTGGCGCAGGCCGGGGCTTACTTTATCAGACATTTTTGGTCTGAATTTCTGGATTCTGAACACATTTTTACTGATTCATCTGATGTCGCAGACATGCTGTTTAATTTCGTCTGATTTTTAAGAGAAGCTTTTTCTATTCATCTGATTTCTCAGACAGCCTTATACAGTTCATCTGAGACTGCAGATATAGTGTCTTTTTCGTCTGAAGGCAAAACTCTCGAAGGATGTCTGCACCTGCCTGGCAGTAGCAGGAGACAAGATTCCAACCGGAAATCTCAGTTTTCACAACTCTCTATTCTACTGGCTGGAGCATTAGGGCTGGTACCTGACTTCCCTATTCATATTTTGATAGTATATTGCTTGCTAGCTTTATATCTTCTCAGAAATCTCAGACAAGTATTTAGGATTCGTCTGAAAAGCTAGACAATGTTACAGCTTTCGTCTGACAATCAGACAAGGAGCCAGGACCCGGTCTTGACATCAGACGGGTCATTTTACTAAAGTTAGCCCGCCGCAGGCTAGAGTAGAGACATGAGTCAGGCAAAGGGGGACGTGGGAACCGGCTTGGGAAAAGGAGGGGGGAGGGAGGGGCATGGGGTGGGGTAGAGCGAGAGGAGGAAGGGGGGAAAGAAACTGTGCAAGGGGTGGTGCATGCTTGTGAGGTGTGCGTGCAGGGGCCAAGATGTGTGGATAAGGAGTGTGGGGTTGGAGCAGGGAAGGGGACAGGCAGGGGAAAGGTGGGGTGTCATAACGCGTGCAATATTACCGTAGGTGGTGAAACTTTGAGCAGCGGGAGGTGCAAGAGCATACACCGTCCTAAGAGAACACCATACCACACCCACATAACCCCACAAATTACACCATAACAAAAGGTACGAAGTTCCTTCTCTTGTACAATACACTATTAACTGGCGTGCGTTGAAGCGTTACGGACCCGCAAAGTAACCAGGGAACAAAATGGGATAAAAAAGAAAGGAGGGGAGGGGAGTGGGGAGAGGATGGGGGAGGTGGAAGATATTCCAAGCAGTGCGGTAAACCACATTGGAGACAATACTGGTAATACCAGACCTCGTATGTACATGGCAGGCTTAATTTCTGTTGCCGTTGCTGCAGCCTTCAATGAACGGCACTGTGTCCCAACAATGCACCTGCACACAACACAGAACAACAGCAAGCCAGGTCCGTGATGCGAACTCTCACAGGCAAGTGAGGTGGTGGTAAGGGAAGGCTAGGTTCCAAGGCCGTTGATAGAAAAGAAACAATCGAGGCAGAGAAAACAAAAAGAGTGGGGAACGAACGAGATGGGGGAAGGGGCGGGAGAATGAGAGGATCGGGGGGGAGGAAGGGGGAGGGGAGGGGAGGGGGGGGAGGGGAAGGAGAGGGAAGGGAGGCATGTGGTAACTTTGGAAACCGGCCGCATGAGCACTCACAGGATTGACCGGGCTATTGTTGAGCTTCTCAGCGGCATGAATGCTTGTTCTCCACCTGGTAAGCCTCTGCCTGCGGATACACTCCCCTCCCGCCCCTCTCGCTCCTCCTCCTCCTCGTTCTCCACCATCTCCACTCACACTGCCGCCTCCCACCCCAGCTGCTACCACTGCTCCTTCTGTTCCTGCTGCTTCCTCTGCCTCCTCCGCTTTCCCTAGAACGGTTGCTGCTGCTGTGCTGGGTAGCTGCAAGCACGCCAGTGGCGACTCAGCCTCACTGCATACAAGGCCATTCAACTCAATTAATGAGCACTGCTCCATGCTGCTTGCAGCGGTGGTGCCTGCACGAGAAGGAGTATGGGCATGACCATTAGCATGATCATGGGCATGGGCCGAAATGCATGGCAAGAAGCAGGGTCTCTCAGGTATGAGAGCCGTGTCAGCCGTGGCGTTGGCAGAGGCGGCGGCAGTGGCGGTGGCTGTACCAGTGGTGATGCCGGTGCTTCTCCTGCTGCTACCGCCGGCGCTGATGCTGGTGTGTGTGGCGTGCGTGGTGCGCACAGGGGAATGATCTGAGGGGCAGAGGGAGAAGGAGACGACTTCACAGGGCACCTCGGCCTGGCTTGCAAGGGACACCACCTGCTGTGTGCCCACACCTGCCAATGCTTGCGGTCCCTCCACTGTCACTGCAACCATGGAAACTGTCACTGATACTAGGGCTGCTGATGTAGCAGCAGCAGAAGCGGGAATAACAGTAGCATCGGCAGCAGAAGCAGCAGCAAGAGAAGCAGCAGCCGGAGAAAGAAAAGGAAGAGGAACAGGAGGAGAGGACAAGTGAGAGTCACGTAAAGAGCGAGGGCGGGTGCGTGCACACGACCCCCCCCAATGCCTTTTCCCATGGCTGGCAACGCGTACAGGGCCTGCCACGCCTTTACGGGACAAGTATAGGGACTCGAGGTGTGCTGGAGTGGGCACAGCAACAGCTTCCATGGCACTGCTAGGGTGCTCACTGCTTCTGGGGACAGAGCAAGTGGCAGCACCAGTGGCAGAGGCAGGGGCAGCGCAGGTGCCAGTGCCAGTGGCACCGGCAGGGGCAGAGGGGGCGGCGGAGGTGGCAGCGGCAGTCGGAGAAGCAGTGATAGTGGCAGTGGCAGCGGCAGTGGAAGCGGCAGTGGGAATGGGAGTGGCAGTGGCAGTGCAGCTGGTTGCGAGGGCCAGCAAGTGAAGAGACTGCAACACATCCTCCTCTTCCTCCTCCACATCGCCACACTCTTCTTGTCTCTCCCCACCCTCCTGCTTCTGCAGATCCTCCTTCCCCTTGTCGACTTCCATTGCAGAATCCCCCCCCCAAACCTCAACCTCCTTCCCTTTACCCTCGTGTACCCCTCGCTGTCCCCCGACACCCTTTCCCATGCAACAGCGCTCTCCATTCCCTACTCTGCCCTCTTCCATTTCAGCACCACCACTCTCACCGTCCCCACACTCTCCTCCCCCCATCTTTCCCCCACGCCCTCCCCCACCGAAGCTTCCCCCACTGCGCCTCCTACCCAAGCCCTCCATGAACCCACTCGTTCCTATTCCAAACCCCGCCACCACTTTCCTTTGACCTACTGCTTTCCGTTGCGATGGGAGGAAGGGCCTGGTGCGGGCAGCAGACCCCTCTGCTGCACGTATGCACTCTTCCTGCATCCCCAGCTGTGCTTCAGCATGCACATGGGTAGCACCCAGGATAGCTGGCACTACCACTCCACTGCTTCGTTTCTTCCGCTCGAGCTCAATCACCCCTTCTCCTCCTGCTGCTCCTCCTGCTGCTGTTCCTTCTCCTATTGCTCCGCCTCCTCCTCCTCCTCCTCCTCCTCCTCCTCCTCCTCCTCCTCCTCCTCCTCCTCCTCCTCCTCCTCCTGCTGCCGCTGCTTCTCCTGCCGCAGGGGCATCTCTAACAAAATCTTTGAGGCTCTGTAGCGTGTGCACCTCCTCTGGCCTTGCTCCTCCCAGCTCCGTCACAGCAGCAGCACCCGTCCCTCCTTCGACCCTGCAAGGCACCCACACGCCTTCCTCTCTACTCCCTTCCACCACCACTTGCATCATCAGCCCATCTCCTCCTGCCTCCCTGTTGACCTCTTTCGATGCGTGCCCGCTTGATCGCCCCTTCTGCTTTCCCCACGCCATGAGCACATGGGTGCGTGCACTCCACATGCCATCACTCCCACCTGCACCACCATCATCACTACCAAACTTGCCCGCAACATCGCCCTCTCCCGCTGCTGCTCCTGCTGTTTCACCAAACGCCAGCTCCTCACCTCCAACCCTCATCTCAGCCACTCCTACAGCCTCGACCCCACTCTCCCCTGCAGACCTCCCCGCGCAAGGCCCAACCCGTGACTCTGGAAAGAACCCCACTCGCACCTGCACTCGGCAGTCCCTAGCCTTGCCCTCCCACACTCGCATTCTCGACCCCACAGCCTCCCCTTCATCCCCTCCTCTTATGCCTCCCAACCCCTCGCTTTCTAGGACCGCCACTGCTACACACCCCTCCTCACCGGATTCCCCCTTTTCTAGTTCCTTATTGCTCGAGCTAACCACACACCCGTTTCCTTCACGTTCTTCCCCCCCTACCCCAGCTTGCCTCGCATCCCCCGCTTCCCATGCATTCCCCAGGCCATGGGCACGGTTGCATTCAGTCTGCTGGTCTGGAGACCCATCCGTCATCCCAGCAGCGAGCCCGCATGCAAGCAATCCATGCACAAGCGCACCTCCGCCCCTGCCTTCAACCTCCAAGGGTCCGATACAAGGCTCATGTGCACGCGCCCCCCCATGCCCCTGTGCCGCTGCATCTGCTGCCTCTTCCTCTTGCGCCCACTCAAGCGCATGAGCAGGTGCAGGTGCACATGCGTCTGGGTGAGTATGTGCATGTGTGTGTGCACATGCCAGTGTCACTTGATTCGCATGCCCGTGCATGGCATGACTGGCAGGTATCGCATCGTCCGAGTCCCATAGCGCCACCTCAACAGCAGCACTCAGAGCAAATAACCCGTCCAAACCAGCAGCCCCATCCACTCCACACTTCGCACCCAAACTAGGAGCATCAGCAACCCCAGAGGTCCCAGCCACCCCAGAATTCCCTCCTTGTAAACAGCATTGAAGGGTGTCAGAACCCCCTGCCTCCGTCCCGTATGCCTCGCCTTTCTCCTCCCAACCACACTCCACACCCTTAACCGCCCATGGCCTGCTTTTCAGCGCCTTGAGTGCATTCTGCCTGGGTCCACACGGCAGAGCACGAGCACAAGAGCCCACGTCCCCCACTCTCCCTCCCTCATCACCCCCCTCGTCGCTTCCACACTTGCGCTCACTCCTACAGCCACTCCTGGTGCTGCTCTCGCCATAACCACAACTAATTGGGATTGCCTTGTCATGACATCGCCTCGTGCTACCCAAGTCCTCGCTCGGTTCTAATAATGCCAACTCTACGCCCCCACTCCCAGACTGCCCGCCAAAAAACCCCTCCACGTCCACGCCTCCCCCCTGCACACTCAGAACAGTACATTCCGGCCCTCCCCCCCACAGCAGCTGCTGCTGCTGCTCCCGCTCCTGCTGCTGCTCCTGCTGCTCTTGCTGCACGTACCCTTGCAGGTGCTGCTGCTCCAGTCCCACTCCGCTACAGTCGTCCAGAGCGAATTCAACCACCACCTGCACTTGCACTGATTGCCCCTCCTCGCCCATCTCCCCGCCGTCACACCCCACCACGCCAACCACCCCCACGTCTACATCCACGCACCCACCACCATCCCCACAGCAAAACCGCTGAATCGCGCCCTCCCTTCCCTCTCCTTCCGCTTCCCCCTGCTCCCCCTCCCCCTCCCCATTCCCCTCTCCATCTCCCTCTCCCACTCCTACTCCCACGCCATTGTTCATAGTAGCAGCAGCATGAGCAGAAGCCAAGGAGTGCTGCCGCATCTTCTCCATTACAAGCTCCTGTGCGGATTGCAGAGGCACAAGAGACTGCTGCGACTCACCAGCAGACTCGCCCACACTGTCACCCACAACCTCGGCCATGAGGTAGAGTGGGCACAAGCCCAAGAGCAGTGCAGAAACGCTGATGATCACCAGCCCCAAGGGCCTTGGTGAAGACATCAGCAGTGTTGGCCCGAAAGGCCACGAAAGCAAGGCGCAGCTGACCACGCTGCTGCAGCTCACGCGCAAGGAAGTAGCGCAGAGCAATGTGCTTCGTTCTGTGCTCCAGTCTCTGCTCGCGACACAAGGCAAGCATTGCCTTGTTGTCGACGTACAGAACCGGAGGAGAACAAGGCCGCTCCCCCAAGTCGGTCAGCAGGTAGGTCAGCCAGTGGAGCTCCTGTGCAGCCAAGAGCAGTCTCACCCCCGAGGAACGGAGGACAGGCAGGGACAGGGTCAGAGACAAGACTCGCAAGGTAGTCGAGGCGGTACACAGCAGCAAAGTCAATGAGCTCAGCTACTAGGGTAGACGCAGCAGGAGACGAGAACGTAGGGTCCGTCTTAACCGTAGCAAGAAGGCGAGTAACAAAAGGACTGGACGCACGAGCAAGGTCAGACGGAGGGTCAGCAACGTCAGGCAAAGAGGACGCAGGAGGTAACGGTAGGACAACACGCTAAGGAACAGAGGAAGGACGGAGTGTCATATCGTGAGTGCCGGGGACAGCCGGAGCACGCTGACGACGAACACGAGGAAAACGAGCACGGACAGCAGCTCTAGGCTTAGGCTCAAGGTCAAAGCTAGACTCAGGCTCTCGACGCTCAGGGGTGGAAGCACGAGTCTCGGGCTCTCGACGCTCAGTCAGGGACTCTGACACCGCAGTGTAAGGAGCAGGAGCAGGCAGTGGGGAGTGTGGTAGCAGCAACGGAGGAGTAGTACCTGCCACAGGGAAGCCAGTAGCACCTGGCTGAAGACTGAGAAGGTGGCGAAGAGCACCAGTAGCTCCACCAGGACCTCCAGCACCCCCAGCACCTCCAGCCCCAGCAGCTCCAGCTGCTCCACGACCTCCAGCACCAGCAGTACCTCCAGTACCTCCAGCACCAGCAGCTCCACGACCTCCAGCACCAGCAGCACCTCCAGTACCTCCAGCACCAGCAGCTCCACCAGGACCAGCAGCACCTGCAACTCCCCGACCTCCAGCACCAGCAGTACCTCCAGTACCTCCAGCACCAGTAGCTCCAGGTCCTCCGGTAGGAGCTCCGACGACACCAACACCAGAAGGACTCGCAACACCCCCAGACTCAGCACCCGAACTCGCAGCACCCCCAGAGGCAGGACCCTCGGTCTCAGCACTCGCAGGCTCAGTACCCTCAGACCCAGCACCCCCAGGCTCAGTACCCTCAGTCCCAGCACCCCCAGGCTCAGTACCCCTAGTCCCAGCACCCCCAGGCTCAGTACCCTCAGTCTCTGCTCGAGTGTCCACAGCAGCAGGCTGCAGAGGCGGCGAAGACGGCAGAGGTGGGAACCCGGGGGGTGTAGCCAGACGAGGAGAGCGGGCACCCCCGGACTCACCACCCCCAGCCCCAGCTCCAGTAGTCTCAGCTCCAGAGTCCACAGCAGCACGCTGCGGAGGCGGCGAAGACGGCCATGGCGGGAAACCCGGGGGGGTCTCCAAGCGAGGAGTGCAGCGAGTGGTCGCCGTGTCGTCGGCGACGGCGTCACCCCCCTCAGGTGAGTCAGAGGAGTTAGAAGAGATCTCAACTGGCTCATCCAAGGGGGGTGGGTCTACCTGGGATACACCTGAGGGAGCAAGACCCTGTGGGGGAAGGGGGTCTACCGGGGGGGGGGACTGGTACCAGGAAGAGAGGTGCGAGAGGGACCGGGTGGGACGCGTGCGGGTGAAGTCGGTAGTAACAGACCGACTCGTCAAAGGTGACATCCTGAGAGGACAGAATACGACACAAGGCAGGGTGGTAGAACTGCCAGGGTGGAGCGTCGGTGGCGAAGCCCAGGAAGACACAGCGGAGCGTGCGAGGGGAGAGCTTGCTCGCTTTGGTATCGCGAACAAGGGAGAGCGCGCCCCAGACCCGAAACGACGACGCATCACCAGGCTTTCCCGTCCAACGGAGTGTGGGCGAGGTCTCTGGAGCAGAGACACGGGGCCAGAGGTTGAGCTGATGCGCGGCGTATCGGACCGCAAACGGCCACAGGAAATGGGGAGCAGCCGCATGGATCATGGAGGCACGAGCAACCTCCATGATCAGGCCAATGCGACGCTCAGCGATCCCATTTTGCTGCGGAGAGGCCGGAAGCGTGAACGACTAGGCGATGCCCTCATCCTGGCAGAACGTCTCAAGGACGCCAGAGCTGAACTCACGACCCCTGTCAGAGTGCAGACGCAGGACTGGGAAGTCCTACTGAAAGCGGTCGTGCAGCTGAAGACGAGTAGCACGGATCCAGGGGATCAAAACACCACTGACGTCCGTCTTGCGACGCAAGGGGAAGACGGTGGTGTAGCGTGTGTAGTTGTCAACAACCAGCAGGAAGTAGCGCTCCTGGTCCGTTCCACCGACGGGGGCCGGGCCCCACACGTCCAGATGGAAAGTCTGCAGAGGAGCAGTGGTCGGAGGAAACTCGGAGGAGTGAGGAGCGGCGCGCTGCCGCCCCTCGACGCAAGGAAGGCACGGCGGCGCAAGCCGCCCCTCGGCGCAAGGAAGGCACGGCGGGGGGCAGGGTCTCAGGGAGGCCAGAGACCAGGAACCGGGAGTGCATGCCGCGCAGACGCTGCAGGGAGGGGTGACCAAGACGGTGGTGCCAGCGCTGAATCTCGTGCGTGAGTACTCGGCACGAGCAAGACGCAGCTAACTGCCCTGACGCAGACGCTCGACTCGACGTAGCTACCTGACCTGACTCAGCCACCTGTGCAGACGCAGTGGTCAGTGTGTACAGACTAGACCCAGGCTGTCGAGTGAACGTAGCCAGGTGACGGCCAGTCCGGGAGCACGTACAGATCGCCACACGCTGCCCTCCAGGAATAAAGGTATCAACCCAGACATCCTGAATGGCAGCGTTGCTCACCAAGTTCGTCGAGAACGTGGGGAGGTGGAGACCTGACAAAGAGCCTGAGGGGACTGCTGGACAAGGGAGGACCGTGGAGGCTCTCGCAACCACTGGGCCCCCAGAGGGGTCAGCCAGTGAGACTGGGACAGGTGCTGTGAGTGGTGTGACTGTGGTGCAATAACAGAAGAAGCAACGTGACGCGCCGGAGTTAAGCGTGAAAGTGTGCAAGACCTCAGCTGAGGCAGGACCTGTGGTAGTAGACGCACTAGCAACTAGAGCGCCGGTAGACTCACGGGCACCTAGAGCTGCAGCAGACTCACTAGCACCTGGAGTGGCAGCAGACTCACTAACACCTGGAGTGGCAGCAGACTGACTAACACCTGGAGTGGCAGCAGACTCACTAACACCAAGAGCAGCGGTCTTAACAGAACGATAACCTCCACCACCAGGATGACCTCGCTGAATAACCCACTCACGAAGCTGCCAAGCGGTGGGGTCGTCCGGGAGAAGCAGTGCCCGCTGCTGTCCACCCCTGGCCGCAGCGACTGCCGCGGAAGTGGCCATGACAGACAGTGACTGTCAGGAGTAGGTCCAGCACCTCCAGCTCCTACAGCGCCAGCAGCATCTCCTGCACTCCCAGCAGCACCTCCTCCACTCCCAGTAGCACAAGTAGCAGCAGCAGCAGCAGTAGTAACAGCAGCAGGGCGGTTCGGTGGGGGTGGGAGGCCGCACCTCCACCACTCCCAGCAGTACTCCCTCCAGTAGCAGCAGTAGCAGGGCGGCTCAGGCAGCAGCAGCAGATCAAGCAGCAGCAGCAGCAGCAGCAGCAGTAGACCGAGTAGCACTAGCTGTAGCAGTAGTAGTTGCAGTAGCAGCATTAGTGACAGCTCGGGCTGGGCGGCGCGGCTCGGACACAGTGGCAGAGCAGCAGTAGCATTAGCTGTAGCAAGTGCACTAGTAGGAGCTGCAGCAGTAGCACTAGCTGTAGCAAGTGAAGTCGTAGGAGCTGCAGTAGTAGTACTAGCTGTAGCAGCAGTAGCTTCAGTCAAGCAGCAGTAGCTTCAGTCAGGAGCAGCTGTAGCAAGTGCTGGAGTAGGAGCTGCAGCAGTAGCACTAGCTGTAGCAAGTGAAGTAGTAGGAGCTGCAGCAGTAGTACTAGCTGTAGCAGCAGTAGCTTCAGTCAGGAGCAGCTGCAGTAAGTGCTGGAGTAGAAGCTGCAGCAGTAGCACTAGCTGTAGCAGCCATAGCTTCAGTCAGTAGCAGCTGTAGCAAGTGCCGTAGTAGCAGCAGCAGCAGTAGCACTAGCTGTAGCAGCACTAGCTTCAGTAGCAGCAGCAGTGAGTAGCGCTAGCTGTAACAGGAGTAGCGTCAGTAGCAGCAGCAGTGAGTAGCGCTAGCTGTAGCAGCAGTAGCAAGGAGGAGCAGCTGCAGCAAGTAGCAGCAGCAGCAAGGAGGAAAAACTGCAGCAAGTAGCAGCAGCAGTTGCAGGGCAGTACAGGCGGCAGCAGCACTGCAGCAGCAGTTCAGGCGCAGCAGTGTAGCAGCAGCAGCAAGTGCAGCAGTAACACGGGCCGCGTGCGGGCCAGGCGCGGGCTTTACGAGCTGGGTGCGGGCCTGACGTGGGCTGTACGGGCTGCGCAACGGCCTGGCACGGGCTGTATGGGCTTCGCGACGGGCCTACGTGGGCTGTACTGGCAGCTAGGGCGCGGTCAGGGGGGGTCGCACGTGACTAGGAAGGAAAATCGCGTCTAGGGCAGAAAAAGGAACCGTCTCGCCTAGAGCACGGTTTCGAATTTCGCGTTTCTCCTAGGGGCGCGTCTCGGGCAGTAGATCGAAATAGTAGTGGTGGGCCCTTTTAAAAATTCGGTCCTAAGGAGCATTGTGCTCTTACAGTAATACCATGTTAGAATCACTAGCTAGGTGAGGAGTGGGGTTAGGTAAGGGAGAGAGAGTACAAGAGTATCGAGAGAATTGGGTTGTACCCTCTAAGGGATGACCCCTACACAACCTAGAGTGAAATAGACATAGCTCTATGTTTTGACAT